TCTGGTATTATTTATTTCTTCCTGAGGGTTTGAGTTACCATTCGCAGTCATTTTCTTGCTCCAATATAATTCCACTGTCTCCTCAGTCTTTTGTCAAATATTTTATTTAAGACAATTTTTTTCTATTTTTGATTTTTAAAATTTCTTCCTTTTCACCTTCTGTTTCTGTTTCCTTATCAGTTGTTTATTCACTCTTGTGTTATTTCTTCAACTTTATTTCTGAAATGATAAATTCTTTTTTTTTTTTTTTTTCGAGACGGAGTCTCACTCTACTGCCCTGAATAGAGTGCCGTGGCATCAGCCTAGCCCACAGCAATCTCAAACTCCTGGGCTCAAGCAATCCTTCTCCCTCAGCCTCCCGAGTAGCTGGGATTACAGGCATGCGCCACCATTCCCGGCTAATTTTTTCTGTATATTTTTAGTTGTCCAGCTAATTTCTTTCTATTCTTAGTAGAGATGGGGTCTCGCTCTTGCTCAGACTGGTCTTGAACTCCTGAGCGCAAACGATCCACCTGCCTCGGCCTCCCAGAGTGCTAGGATTACAGGAGTGAGCCACCACGCCTGGCCCGATAAATTCTTATATTTCTAATTCTTTCATCAGTTCTGTCACTTGGATTCTGAATATTCTAATTCTGATTTGTATTCTTTCATGACTAGTAATTTATTTTAGTTTTTTTTTTTTTTTAAAGAAATGGTCTCACTCTGTCTTCCAGGCTGGAGTGCAGTGGTGCAATCATAGCTCACTACAGCCTTAAACTCGTGGACTCAAGCAATCCTCCCATCCCAGTCTCCCAGGTAGCTGGGACTATAGGCATGCACCACCACATCTGGCTAATTTTTAAATTTTTCGTAGGGGCGGGATCTCGCTATGTTGCCCAGGCTGGTCTCCAACTCCCAGGCTCAAGTGATCCTTCTGCCTCAGTCTCCCAAAGCACTAGAATTACAGGCATGTGCCACCATGCCTAGTCATTTTAAAGTCTTTTGGATTGTTTTGACATAGATTATCAATTTAATTTGTTCTATTTCCATCTCTTTCTGGCATAGTTTTATCATCTATAGGGATATTGTTTACTTTATCCTTACCTTGTTTTCAATATTAACTTTTTAATGAGATTTGACCATAATACTTTGTTTTCTTATTTTCATGTGAAATTGCTTTTCTTGAATGGGTAGAAGGTGGCAGGGTTCATCATAACTTTTCCAACTTCACATGTGTCTCATGTCTGTGTGTGTGTTTAAAAAAGTTGACAGCTTGCTTTCTGGGATTTCCTGGTTCTGTTTCCTTCCTCCACTTGTTTCTGTACCTTATTTTTCCATTGTTTCTCTTGTACCAATCATACACACTTTTCATTCCACTCCCAGTGATTTCTCACTATGAGGCTTTGTCTGGAAGGGAGCCTTGGAAGCTCAGTTTTGAGAGTTCAGAGTAGGTTAAAGTATGCTAGCTTTTTCAGGGCTAACCTTAGAGTCATTATATTTACTCACTCTTGGAGTCGCCAGAACCTCTCCTAGTCAGTTGTTCTCAGATTGGTTTGCCATGCTTTCCATTGTTGTTTATCTTGTGTGTTTTCCTGTCCTTACAGTTGACAGATGCCCTGTTGTTTATTTCTGATTTCTCCTGCAGAGGTGCTGATACCAAACAGTTCTTGATGGCTATTGGTAGTTTTCTACAGCTTTTTGTATCCTGGGTTTGTATTTTTTCACTTAGCTTTCTTGTGAATGTAGTTCATGGGTTTTTGGTTTTGTTACCTACTTTTTCTCTCTGTTTTCGTGTGGAGGATTTGTGAAGATTTTTCAAAAGCTGTGTCACCACCACCGATGTCATCTTCTTAGGTATTATAACAGCCTCACTGTGATGGAGAGAAACTCCCTTCCAAGGTTAGGTTCAGATGTCAAAGTTCATGACAGTTCTCCTGGGGTATGATCAAAGAAAGATTTATTACCCATACAGGTGGGCAGTTCTAAGACAGGGACAGAGGACGACTTTCTGGGGGGGAGTCCAGAAACAAAAAGTGAATGAGAGTATGTAGGTATTTTATAAAGGGTAAGTCCAGTTCGTTCAGAATTCAAAAGAAGCGCCTGCAAGGTTCTTGGAATCTGAAAGAGATGGCAAGAGAGCTCATATATTTGGGGTATTGGTTGGGGTAAGCTTAATCACTAAGCTGCAGAAAATGACAGACACAAGCAGGAAATGATGCTCATAGATTGCTAGTGCTAAATCAAAACATTAGAAGGAGGGATTTGTCTCAGTTTCTTTCCTGTGGTCTCCATAGTAGAGATCCATTCTTTTAGCTCCAGTTATTGTTGTGACATACTACTGAGGAACTGGGCTTTGATCTTACCTGCCACTTTTGTTTTCAGTGGCCATGACTAACTCCTTGAAGTAACTTGTGTTTCCAGAGAACCAGCAGGTAGGCTTCCCTGGTAATCTTAACAGAGAGAAGGGGAAGACTATATATGGTTATCTCTACTTTTAGGAATAAGTCACCATTGGCTGGACAAATCATAAATGATCTAGGAGTGCTAGTCTTCTCAGCGTTGCTTTTTGTTCAGCTCTGTTAATCACATATTTTTCTTTAAAAACATTTAGTTTTATCAAGCATTCATGGAGTGTCTATTAAGTCATTTATACTATGTGCTCGTAATTTGTAGACATAGCATTCTGTGAGATCCTGGGAATATAAATAAGCCAGAGTCCCTACTCTCAAAAAGGTTATCGGTTATAGAGTTGTTGGATAGATAAACAGTTATAAAACAAGTTTCCTGTTTTATGTTATGAGAGCACAGAGGAAGAATGATAACTTGGCTTGTGGGGGGAGGAGATTAAGGAAGGCTATGAAAAGGAAGTAACATTAAAATTTAGTGTTAGTTTAGTATTTACTGATTCTCATAAGCTGCCAATATTAAGCACTTATTTAAAAAGAACCACATGAGATGTTCACATAATAAAATGTTATGCTTATATCAGAAATCTTAAAATATTGAAAATGTGTGCCCTAAAATTGAGGAATCATTTATGAAGTGTAATTAAGTACCAGGCATAGTGCTGAATGGCTTTTGCACACATTATCATTCAATCTTCACAGTAACTCAGTGAGGATAGGTTATTTTCTTACATTTGCAGATGAAGAAAATAAAGCTTGCAGAAATGATGTAAGTAGTAAGTGTGTGTGGAGGTTTAAATTTGACTCTATCCGATTTCTGTTCTTATGCATTCAATTACGATACAAAATGAATATAGCTTTTAGGGCTTTTGCTTTTGTTTAGTTTCTTATGTCTAGTTCATTAGAGTGAATTTTAACATTTTGTTTAATGATATATACAAAGGACTTAAAAGGCTATTTTTTTCCTCCAGAGTTTTTCAAAGACCTGGTTATGTAATTTGAAGTTCTTTAAGATGGTTGATGGAAGTGTCAAGTAACTTAGTTTTTACTATTCTTTATTTTCTGCTTGTGTTTCTTGTCTGTCTTGACAGCCTCTCAGTACTCTTTGTGTTTTACCATAATGAATTTTGGAAAACTTTAGTGTGAATTATAGAAGCTTTTAAAAAATTGAACTTAAACTATGATATCATTTCTATAAAAACTATAGTCCTTTTAGTAAACTTAAAAAAACGGTCCATTTAAAAAATGGAAGACAATGCTTCAGGAGTAGGCATTGTGGCAGTTCCATTTGAGAAATGAGAAGGAAAAGTAATCTGCTATGGAAGAGAGAATTAAGGAAAATGAGAAGAGAAAACTGTGATGATATAAACTGGCAGAGTAGGCACGAAGTTCCAAAATATAAAGTTTGGCAAACTAGTCCTGCTAATCTTTTATTTGATTTTTAAAAATTTTGGCCTGAATTTATAAGACTTCGGGCTAGGACCATTCCATGTGCAATCACAGATTGTAATTCTGTTTAGATAAAAATGATCATATTGCTCTTTAATTTAATGTACTGGTAATGTTAGATACTAGAGATTAAGTAACCTCAAAAACCTAAAAATTGAATCATCTTCTTAAGATATATGATACTTTTTATTTCTTTTCATTAGCTTGTTTTTCCCTTCGTTTTCTCCCGTATCTTCCCTCTCTCCCTCCCTCCTGGATGGACTATTGGGAAACTTGGATTTATGAAAATATCAAAGCATTTATTTTCTGGAATATTATTTTGGCTCAAAACATGATTTGTTCATTATTCTAGAGCATTTACTTATTGAGTAACTATCTATGACACTCTGCAAAGTTCTGTGCCTAGAGTACTAATCAAACTTTAAATAGTATCTATTGCTTGTGAAAATTTTGGGTCTCCTTTGTCTCATGAACACATTCTGCCAGTGGCAGGACTTCCTTTTGGCTGCATGAATTGGGAAAGTTAAATGATAGTACAGCAAAAAGCCAGCTTAGATGATCATTTGCAGGAGCTAGACTGGGGTTTGCAGGGAGAGCTCTGTCTGAATGCCTTTTAGCCTCGTGTGTATGTTTTCATTCTCGGTTATCAAAACCATAAGAAGATATGGAAGAAACAGGCTCAGGTCTTTGTTCTTCCACACCAGGAAGGAGAAAACCTATTTCTGAAATAAATCTTCCTAGTGTCAACTGTAACCCCTGAGATTTTTCTTATTGCCTACCTTTCTCCTTCTGATGACATGGATTACGTGAAAGGATGGAAGCTGTGAGTCCAGAGGTGGCGGTTGAGGAGTGGGAGTGACAGCAGTGCTCACCATGAGAAGGCAGTGCTTTCTTCCCGCCGGGTAGCTTGTAGGGAACTCGGGGCCTGCTGCCACGTAAGGGACCATTCTGAAGTGCTTGGTTGGGGATTTTGGACATCTTAAAAATGTATTTGAGTTCATCGTATGAATTACTTTTCATAGGTGTATTTGACCTAAAGATATGTGTCACTCAGGATTTATTTATACATGTTAATGTGGACTAAGATCATTTAATGGGAGAGGTGAAGTTACGATAGAAGAAGAAAATTGAGAACTAAGTTTGAGTTTTTCCTCTTTGTGTTAATAGGCAGGCAGTGGTTAAAGGTTCCCTTCCACATCCTTTTGCCTTGACGTTATTTGAGGACACTTTGTACTGGACTGACTGGAATACACACTCCATTTTGGCTTGCAACAAGTATACTGGCGAGGGTCTGCGTGAAATCCATTCTAACATCTTCTCTCCCATGGATATCCATGCCTTCAGCCAACAGAGGCAGCCAAATGGTAAGTGATCTTGATTTTTAAATTGCAAGTTGGAATAGCTTTGCAGCACTCTAATGTCTGGCTTTAGTGAGGGTTGGGAGAAGGAAGAGCATACCCAAAGGTAGTTGGGAGGAATAAAAAATAAAGAGAGAAAACGTCAAAATGTAGTTCAGGTTAAACAATAGCCTAAACCATTTTGTAGCCTATCTGTCACTACGGACTGCCTCAACTCTTTGTTTGGGGCAGGGATTATAGAGTCAGAGAAGAGAGAAATAAATAAAAAATCGAGATGGCTCATATGCTAAGCTTATATACAAAGGTATTTCTTATTCATGTTACTTCTCTCCATATGTGTTTGAGTGTGTTGATGTGAGCGTATTTAAAAAACAAGTACTTTTTTTTTCGAATGGAAGCCTCTGTTAATCTAGCTAGTGAATTTATTGAAAAAAATACCTGCTTAAACTTTTCTGTGCAACCCCTCCACCCCTTTTCCCTTAGTTTTGCTTCCTTTTTTGGTCAACCTTTACAATGACTTAGGTTGTAACTGCTGACAACAGCTGGAATTAGGTTTGAAAGGAATATGAGAATGTTAAGCGTTTGGCACTTGTGTGTAAATAAATGTCTGGCATGTGTCTGAGTGTATTTCAAATTGTGTTTCGTAGCCAAAAATGAAGAGTTTTTGGATCATCCATTGCTTTATATTTATTAGCTCTTTCCATTTAGGAGGAGATAATAAAATATTGAATGTGTTATGTTGGAATCTGATGATCATGAGCCCTTAAAAATGGTTTTAAATGTTCGTGTTACTCTTTTTTAAAAAAGAAAATGTTTAGTCACTCATGAATTTTTTATTCTCATTCTTAGCCCTCAGGAAAAATTTTGTTGTTTTTTTTTTTTTAAATGGCAGTGTTGATCCTTTATGTTTTACTAGTTTGAGAATTTGTAGTTATCTTTGATATTGTTCTGTTTTAGCTTTCATGTTTCTCCAGATTATGCTGGTCTCTATCTCATGTTGATTTCTTTTGTATGAATATTGTTTGAATACTTCTCTTTCCATAGTTCCTAAAATTTGCTAATTAGGTTTCCCTGCTTTTCAATTTCCCTTCTTTTAATCCATTCTGCTTATTCTTTTTATGTTAACTTTTCCAAAGCATGACTTTTCAACATTCTAGTTACCTTACTTGGCTTTCAGTACCCTCCCCACAATCTGTTCCCATTTTTTGTGCTCATTCCACTTTAGTTCCTATTAGTCAATAGAAATGTCAACCTCCAGTTACACTGTTCATCTTATTATCTCACTGAGTATACAGCCCCCAAGCTTTTATTCATGTGGCTTTACCGCACTTGAAATGTCCTCCTATCTATCGTTTCTATCCATCAAGGCGTCTGCTCTGTCCTATATCCTCCATGAAACCTTTCTCCAGGTCTTTAAACCTCAGTGATTTATTTCTCATTTGACTCTGTACTTACTTACATTCCATAATGTGCAAATTAGCATTTAGTCTCATTGTTTTGTATTCTTTTCTAGTTTTATTGTTTGTTAATTTTGGCTTACTGACAAGATTGTAAGCTCTTTTAGGGCAGGGATCTCTCCTTTTACTTCTTGTGTATTCCTCTTTGAATAAAAAATGCTAAGTAAATTCTCACTGATTAATTCCCTTCCGTGCATAGGGTTTGGTAGTCAAACACCTGGATGACATTTGGTAATGATTTTAGTTTATCACCATTGCTCATGTTATGGTTGTTAACCTTTGTGTACCTAGTAATCATTGGTATTAATCAGTGTGATTTATATTTGACAGCTACAAATCCATGTGGAATTGATAACGGTGGTTGTTCCCATTTGTGTTTGATGTCTCCAGTCAAGCCTTTTTATCAGTGTGCTTGCCCAACTGGGGTCAAACTCCTGGAGAATGGAAAAACCTGCAAAGATGGTAAGAAAATGTTATCTAACAAGGAAAAGTTTTATGGTAATAATTGAGATTCTTTATGATTTATTTTCTTCTCTATAATCAGCTCTATAGGTTACAGTGCTTTGGGAGACCAGGTATAATCTTACAACCGTCCCATAAGGTTATATAACAGAAGTCCTTTGTGTTTTATGGCATCTCTTGAATGCTACTTTATAAATTATTTTAATGTTTTAAGTAACATTTTTGAAAAAATAAAAAGGTGCTATATCTTTTCCCCATCAAATCTTATAGTCATTGTATCACAATTGATTCCTGTGGAAAGGAGTATAACTTCTCATAAAGAATGCATTTTTAATAGTAGGTAGCACTTGTAAATAAAGAACCTCTAGAGGGAAAAATGTTTATTAAACTTTTATCTGTAAGGAATATCACAGGGTAGATTTATTTTCTAACAAATCATTGAAGGATATTTTTAATTGCCTTTTAATGACAGAGAAGTTGCTTTCAGAAGAAGAAAAAAATCCATATTGTACTGTTTAAAACTACTTCTTTTTATACGTAACAACCACACTTTGCCTCTTCTCCTTACTCTTAATTCCCTATAAAGAGAGGGCATGTTGGAGAAGTATACTGATTTAGGACATTTCAAGGGACTTCTGGTTTGGAAGAACACCAGTTCTTCTCTTTTTCTTCTTAATGAGAATGTTATTCTTCATTCTTACCCCTATGGATCACCGGCTGGTTCTCTAGCAACCAGCAAGACCCGGTAAGAAAATTGTTATATTTAGCAGTGGCTTCTTTATCTAAATCTGAAAAGCAGAAGCCTATGTTTTGGAGTGTGTTAGAGAGTTCCTGGCAAAGGGGTCAGGGAGTCAGAGAGATGGAATTGAGTCCGTGTACAGGATGTTTGTTATGACTTGGCATTGATAAATTATCCTCGTAGTCAAAGGTGAAGCTGGCTGACTCTTGTCAAATGGTTTCTATGGCAAACAATAATTTGGTTTCAATTTAAAACAAAAGCTTTTTGTAACATTGCTTTTTTCTTTAAAAATGTACTCTGAGACTTTAAAACAGAGGATTTATTTTAGGAATAGTGGTCTATCTACTCCCTCGCAATGCAAATGTACATGTTTAACCAGTTTTGAATTTCAGCTGTATGGTTGGCATGTAGTACCTTAACTATTCTGTTTTGATCACGTTTCTCAAATTAACAGCCCTTCGTTTGCAAAGTTTTGGGCTGGCTTCTCTTGGTGGTTAGCAGGGCCAGTGAATTGTGCTGTTATTCTTACTTGGTGCCTGCTATGGCATTTGGGTCTATATTTTCTCCAAGTTAGAGTTCGTTTATGATTAACCTTAGAGTGAAAAAGCTGAAGTTGAGAGTCTTCACTCCTCTTCTCAGTTTTTAACTATATAATTCCAGATTGACGCTTAAAGGTTATATGCCAGTATTTGCTTTGTGCTCATTTTTAAAGTGGTAATCTTTACCTTGCTCTTTCAGTTGTCAATTTGCTTACCATCATTTGTTAGCTTCTTATTGTTAGATAATTTTTTGCTGATGGTTTACTTGAACATTAAACACGAAAACAAAGATTGAGCTCGGTGTCCTTGTTCTCCGTTATAGGGTTAAACATTTGGGGTTTGAGTTTAAAACATTTCATAAATAAATCTAATTTAAAACTCAGTGAAATAAAAATTTGAAAGTCTTCATTTTTTAATATTAATAATATTATATTAGTTAATAGTTATAGAGTACTTATATGCTCAGTACCTTCCTGAATTTTGCATTTATCTCCTTGAGTCTTCACAGCAATCTTATGAGGTATAGATGAAGAAAATAGGCTTAGAGAGATTAGATGTTTTGTTTGTACTTAGAAAGTAGTTTGTGTAGCTACTTGAATCAAGTTCTGTTGGATCCACAACTCTTACTCTTAACCATTGTGTTATGTTTATCTGGTTTCCTCTCTCCATTGCTGCTCTTTTCTTCTCCCTTGCCCTTCATTCTGTCAGGTATTGCCCTGTATTTCTCTTTGTTAAGACAGTTTCACTGAAATATAATTTACATTCCATATAAAATACATCCATTTCAAGTGTACAATTCAGTGAATTTTAGTAAATTTATAGAGTTGTGCAGCCATCACCATAATCCAATTTTAGAACGTTCCCATCAACCACAAAGATTCTTGTCCTAGATTTCTTTACCTTTTTAAAAATACTTCTTGAACAAAGGCTCTATATCCTACATTTCCTTCCTTCAGTATTCAGCTACTTAGCTTCTTAGTCATTATTCATTATACTTTAGATAGCTGTATTAATTCCAGAAGCTATATAATGAATGAAACTAGAGTGTGGATCAAAACTTGATTTGGAAAGGCTAGCCATTGTAGAGCTTGACCTCAGAGCCGACTCTTCCTATTTCATTGTATTATTTTCCATTTTTACTCCAAAGAGAGACGGTGTCCTATTATACCCATTTATTTTTCAATTCCTGAAGAAGTTCTGCATTCTTTATTTAGAGTGGCTAAATTTTGCCTGTGGGTTTCAGATCATTTATTCTTCATTTCACTTTGTTATTCCAGGTGCCACTGAATTACTGCTTTTAGCCAGAAGGACAGATTTGAGACGCATTTCTTTGGATACACCAGATTTTACAGACATTGTTCTGCAGTTAGAAGACATTCGCCATGCCATTGCTATAGATTACGATCCCGTGGAAGGCTATATCTATTGGACTGATGATGAAGTGAAGGCCATACGCCGTTCATTCATAGATGGATCTGGCAGTCAGTTTGTGGTCACTGCTCAAATTGCTCATCCTGATGGTATTGCTGTTGACTGGGTTGCACGAAATCTTTACTGGACAGACACTGGCACTGATAGGATAGAAGTGACAAGGCTCAATGGGACCATGAGGAAGATCTTGATTTCAGAGGACTTAGAGGAACCCCGGGCTATTGTGTTAGATCCAATGGTTGGGTAAGAAGCTCTGTTGATAGTAAATTCTATCTGGTGTTTTTGATTTTCACGGGTCTCTAAAAACATGGACTAAGACAACAGGAAGTATGTGTTAGTTTCCATTAAACAGCTCTTTAATAGCTGTCCATTTTTAGAATATAGTGATTAGAATAAAATCTCAAGTTAAAGAAATGCTTATTTTTTGCCTCGAATATTTTGAGTATTTTTTCTTTCTAATTAAGTCCATATTTGCTGACTTTGGGTGTTGTCTGCAGATTTTGCTCAGATTGCATCATGACCATGAAAAATGTGGAAATAAATTGTTTTCAGAACTTTCCCTTCCCCTAGATTTCATTTCATCCCATTTCCAGTTTTTATAGTAAGAATATATCTTACTTTATATTTCCCAAGTACATGAATTTTTACAAAACTTTGTTAGGCCATGCAGTTTTACTCCTAGTCTTTTTTTTTTCCCATACCACCCTGGCTATAGTCCAGGGAAGCAAAACTTTTTACATATTCACCAGTGTTACTGTTACTATGAGATTTATTCTGAGGATGAACATAGTGGCAAATTATTACACCTCAGTATGTAATGCTTTAGAGCCACTTAAACATCTAGGAGCCATAAGAATCACTTAGCAGTGCAGAAGAATTTTTTGGGGAATTCAGTTTGTCATCTGAATGGTACTACTGGGATAAACTTTTTGTGTCATGGATGACAAACCAAGAAAAAGAGGGGACGTTTGTGGAAAGGAGCACAAAATATTTTGGAAAAACATAAGTAAAAATGGAGTCTTGTTATCGAGAGGCATTTTCAGGATCAGTTTTAGAAAATACTAATTTGAAAATTTCTTACAAGCTTATACACTGCTATTATAAATGTCTTAAACATATTCTTTATGTTTATATATCTGAAAATTATATTTAGTTATATATTTTTAGCTCATTTTCTGTATACTTCTATAGGTACATGTATTGGACTGACTGGGGAGAAATCCCAAAAATTGAGCGAGCAGCTCTGGATGGTTCTGACCGTGTAGTATTGGTTAACACTTCTCTTGGTTGGCCAAATGGTTTAGCCTTGGATTATGATGAAGGCAAAATATACTGGGGAGATGCCAAAACAGACAAAATCGAGGTATGTTTTTCATTTTACAACTAGTTTTATAATGATTTGAGTTGATAGTAATTTGATAACAGATATTCTTGTCTCTTAACAGTTGTCTTGGGTGCCAGAGGTATCTTTTATAGAAATTTTACTCAACCTTCACTTTTCTAGGGATAATATATTCTCTTCCACATAATCCCAGGATTTCTGAGATATATTGGTATGGGAAATGGGTATTCATCTATTTCTAGTCTTAAAAGCTTACATAAATGATTTTCTTTGTTTTGAATAAAGCCACTGCCTGAATTTCCTAGGGACAGTTTCTGCAAACCCAAAAGTATGTAAGATCTATACTGAAAGAGCTGGCCATCCTAAGTTAGGAAAACAAAGCCCATATGTATATATAACTTCTATTGTAGTTATTGATGTTGGGGGTGGGTGGAGGAACATATTAAATATTTAGATGGCTACACACACACAATTTTTAAATTGATTTATGGGCCGCATGGAAGAAAGGTTAATTTACCAAAGTTTGGGAAAAAATATTTACCAAGTGGTAGAATTAAGTTTGTGGCAATCAAATAGAATTATGGTGAAATCAATCAGCAGTGAATATTTTATCACAAATTTTGTAAATGGCATATGTCCCTGATAGTGTTAAGTCTAAAATTTACAGCTTTAAATGAGACTGTGTTAGAAGTCTTATGGATCACATACTTAAAACAGTTAGGGTCTCAGTTTTTCTTTGGGGAATACATGACTTCTCATATAAGGAATGGCTTTGAATGGCTCTTCAGAGAGCCATTGCACACACCTAATGAATAGAACATTTGGACTCTAGAGCAGTTATTTTAGAAAGGTGATTTTGAGGAGTGGTAGGGACTCTGAGGGAATAATGACTTGAAGGGCCTTCCCTTCCTAAAATGAAAACTTGGAATAGGAGAAATGCCCCATTAGTATTCTACGAGGCTCAAATACTGAGAATGGCATCTCTTGTTCTTGCAGCTGGTTTCCATTAGTAGAAAATTTTGCATAGACTGACTATATAAATTTTCTCCCTGTTGTTAGTGTTTCACTGCCCCCAACCCCTCCTTAAAATCCAAATTAGTGTTTGACTCTTTCAACAGCTGGAGTGCATTGCTAATGAGACAAAGGTTATGAGCTCACTTTTTAGATGGGCTTTTACCTTCATTTGGATCTCCTTAATTTAGATTGCCTGCCTAATCCCAACCAGTTTGCATTTGTGTATTGTTGATCAGCTATGGACCATACATGAGTGTGTAGGTATCAATACTCTTAAGAAAACAGTTTAAAGCTCACGTGTCCCAGAAGAATGTCTGTAGCAATAAAACTTACAAAAGGGAAGAACACTTTAAAAAATTATGTATTTGGTCTTATTTTTTTAGCCTACTATGACTGATTAGCTTGAAAATAAAATCATTTGTTTCTTACTGAGAAATTTTTAAGTCTTATTTTTTCCACTTCAGGTATATTAAATATACCTTAAATATTAAATATTTAATACTTTAGATATTGAAATTTATTCAGAATCACAAATAGTTCAGGAGGGATTCAGATAAAGAAATTAGAATTTATGGACATCCTGAGTGACAGTGTTTAAAAATAAAAATGATTATATATTACATAACCATATATAACATTGATTAAACAGGATTTATTTTCTTGGTTTGTGGTGAGTAGAGTAGATCTTAAAATTAGTATTCCTTCTGGCCTTGTTGTTCTGTCTTTTTGAGCTAGGCATGTGTATTCAGTGGTGTCATTTGTTCTCTCACCCTGTATTTCCTTCTTCCCTGAGTGATACCAGTATCCTTAAACTTGTTTTTTAGATCCATCTTTCTCCTTCCAGGTTTGCTGGAACACAGCTACTGTTTGTTCTTTGTCGTCTTTTTGATGGCTTGTTTGGTGTTAGTATTAAATTTACTTCCATCAAATTATATACATGAAGACCTCCCCTTATTCTTTCCCCTGGAGATTCTGATGAAATTTCACTAGTTGGGTGTCAATGCTTTTGTTATTTTCTTTACATAGACACATCTGGGAAATAGGGAGAGCAGAGGTATTGCTATTGTTATTTATTCTCTTTTTATGATGATGTAAAATTTCTGGTACATCGCAAACTAAAGAAAAGAGCACAGCTCTTCATCTAAAATAATCTTGCATAACTGGAGGAGAAAACCTGTTAGTTTCCCATCCTAACAGTACTACTACTTACAAGACAACACTGAACCACGTGTCCTACAAACAGTGCTGCTCAAACTACAGAAGATTGACTTGGAAACTCTGTCATCCACCGTATTCAGCAGACCTTGCACCAGCTGACTACTGCTTCTTCTGGGCTTTGGACCACTTTTTGCGAGGAAAAATATTCAGTTCTTAACAAGCTGTGGAAAATGCCTTTGGCGATTTCATCACTACGTCTTCTCCAGGCTTCTTCGCTGCCGGCATAAACAAGTTACCATTAAGTTGGCAAAACTGTGTTAATAGTTTAGGTGCACACTTTGATTAATTGTAATGCTGCTTGTTTGCATTATGATAAACTACACTTTTGATTCAAAAATGGACATTTCATATTTAATGAACTAATACAAATCGTATTAGGGAAGTTTAATCCCAAACAACTCTAAGTCTTCCAGAGGGGAATAGGGCTATTATAACCACAATGTGATATTCTCTTACAGGCCTAGGGAAAAGCAGCTTTCATTCCTGAGCATGACAAAAGCTGGGAAGCCTTCTTAAGTGGGTGGGACTAGAAGGAAGCATGTTACCCAGACTAGGATCAGATCACTATCTGCAATCAACTACTATGTAACAAGAGGCTAGCATATACGCTTTTTAGAAAAAGAAACAGATTAAAAATTACATATGTTTCTAAGTTTTCAAGTTAAATATTATCCACCTACTATCAAGTAAAGGGAGATCAAAAGCTGGTGGTTGAGTGTTGTCTTACAAGAGGATCAGCCTGTCTCTGTTGACCAATCTTGGCCTTTAATTGCAAGCATCCTTATTATTTCATCAAATTAGTTGCAGTAGATACCTGCTGTAATGGATTGACCAGGTTTCACGAAACTGTAGTGGATAACATCAGCGCTGGACCACCAAACAGGCACTATTAGCTTTTTTTTTTAATGATTATTCAGTTTTGGACTGTTTCGCCACTTCATCTTTATCCAACCATTGTGCTGAATGCTTGTGATTGTCAAAAAGATCCATTTTTCATCATACAGAACAGTACGGTGTAGAAATGGTTCGCCTTTATGTCGCGACAGCAAAGAAAGGCAAGCTTTAAGACAATTTCTCTTCTGATGCTCATTTAATTCATGCAGAACCCATCTATCCAGCTTCTTTAACTTTCCGATTTGTTTCAAATCGTCCAATGTTGTTGGATTAGTTAACGTTAAATCTTGCTGCTAATTCCCGCCTAGGTTGAGATGGATTCGCTTGCACTACAGCTTTCAGCTCATCATTATCCACCTTGGTCTCAGGTTGCCCATGTGGCTCATTTTCAAGATTAAAATCACCAGAAGGGAACTTCTCAAACCATCGACGTACTGTATGTTCATCAGCCACATCCTTCCCGAACACTTTGTTATTTCGAGCTGTCTGCACTGCATTGGTTCCACAACAACTCATATTAGAAAATAACACTAATTTTTGACTTACCCATGTTTCACAAAAATTGCTCTTAAAGAAATTTTGAAAGATAATCACAAGCCAAAACATGCCTTTGAAAGACTGAAAGACTTCACAATAAAAATAAAACTAGAAAGGTCAAAGGGAAATGTCAGAGATATCAACTGTCAAAACTTAGGGAAATTGGACATTTCATGCTTAATAACCTAATAGTACATTTGAGAGGAAAAGATAGCTATTTGGTAAGTTACTATGTAGCAACGTAAGACATAGTAAGCCCTTGTGTTTTGAGTGGATCACATGGGACCGTGATCACATGGTCATTCATCTGTTATATCTGCTCCCTTAATTGAGTCCTTAGATCAACTTCTCATTTCCTCCTCTTGTAAGTGGTGATGTGACAAGATGCTGGCTACACGAGGGAGTTGGGTCTGAAGACTAGGAAGAACGAATGGGGGAACTGAGGGGTTTTTTTACTTGATTTTTTTAGTTGTACAGAGTTATAGAAACAGTGAATAGGTTTACCTCGGGTTTACAGTAAACTTCCAAAAAGAGAGATTGAACATAGGGCATTCTAATGATGTCACATTAAAAAAAAACAAAACAGTTGTGGTATTGGTTGTGGTATTGTGGCTTTAATATAATAATGTGTGTGTGAGGATATGTCTGCTTTCCCTCCTTGTCGGTTGGTAGTGGCCACTTATTTGTAGGTGTTATTTAAAAGGTACTTGCTGGTACTTGTTTATTTCTCCTCTTCATTATGCCGAAATGACTTCATGGCCTTTTACCAACAAACTTTCTAGTTTACTTGTTTGCATTGTGCTTCCACCACCCCCCAGTTTTTACTCTAGTGTTCTGTTCTGGTGCCTCTCAATAATAAATAAGAAAGCAT